GTGAAAAATGAAAAACAAACACATGAATAAATGCAGATGATTAATACAGTCAGGTCATATTTTAATGAGTGAGGTAGGTTGGAGGGATTGGGGAGTGACCAATATCTATGTTTTCTCTTGATAAAAAAAGTAATTATTTTAAAACTGTCTTTAATTAACTCAGATTACTTTTTTCCTGATGTAAGAATAAATGCGATTATTTTAAGTTTAAAGAACAGAGAGAAAACAGAAATATATTGCTTAATACAAATGATATGACTTCCCATTACATCTTCACCAGAAAGCTTTCATCCTTATGCAGAAAGTGGCGCCCTCTGCAGGTAGAAAGAAGCTTTTTCACTGTTGCTCATACAGTGTGACCATCCTGCAACCCCACTCAGCCTGCAACTCACATTCATGGTCACAGATCCGAGGCCTCACAGACCACTGGCCCCACAGGGGGATCTGCAGTGGAGCGTGTAGCTACCTGTCAATCACCAAATCTCTGCTGTCTTAAGAGAGACATTTCGCCTGGGATAGCGGCAGCCCGTCCCTCCCCATACATTCTGCCTCCCCTGGCAACCATTGCCTGATGACTGAGAGGCTTTGTCCCCCTCACAACGGGTGTCTGCCATTGAACCCAGAAGCCCCGTAGCAACCAGAATTAGAGGGTGTCAGAAAGGGGGCTCCTTTCTGTGAAACAGGGGTGAACGCTCTGTCCTTGTCCCCACGTCTGGGATTCATATCACAGGCCTGAATGGCATCAGTACCTCCTTTTAAAAGCCAGTGTAACGGAGCGTATGAAGGGGCTAGCAGTGAGCAGATAGGATCATGCTTAATCTGCTGTTCTTCACCACTGTGGTCCGATAGGGACACTTAAGCAGCCTCTGTGGCGTGGGGAGTTCCTGGAGATAGTGGATAAAGGTGGAGAAACAGGAGAGGAATAGAAACTTCTCAACCATCTCATTAACTTTCAACATCATCAGACTAGTAAATGTTTAAGAAATGCTTCAATTTAGCACTTTTCTGTCTAAGCTTAGAGTACTAATAATGTTATATTGTTCTGATTTGGTTTTCAGCAGAACTCTCATAGGAATCATAGGAGGTTTTTCAAAAATAAAGGCAGGCATAGCAAGATGGTAATTGAAAAATCGAAATTGTGAAATAGTTTTCTATCACAGTCTGATTTTAGAGACATTCTTTTCACTACTACCAGAACTGACCTCAAACTCAAACTGACCATATCAATGGGATTTTTTTGCACCATTTTTATTCTCTCACAATGTTTACATTTGATCTCTGCTTCACTTTAAGAAATGGAAATTTCATTAGAGCTATACAAAACAAAATTGTGTTTTGTATACACACTGTGTATACAAACTGACAATAAAGTTTGTCTAAGTCTAACTGTAACTTTATACAGGTAACCTCTTGTATTTTTTCTTTGAAGCGTTTCATATTTCTTAAAATTCTGTCACAGAAGACATGTGAAGAGTTTAGGTAAAAATTACTTTACAAATACAAATCTTAAACGAGTATTATGCAACTGATATGCATGATGCCACCACCATGATATGTCGCAGTCAGGATTCTCCAGCCAGCATGACGTGCAGTTTTCCTTCCCATCCACACAGCATTGTGCATGTAAGCAAAGAAAATTGATTTTAGCCTTAATATGGGGCTTTTTATGGCTTCCTGCTGGCGACTGAACGGCCATCTTTCTTTGCCACTATTTCATTATGACAAAAATTTGTGAAGTGCATGATTATAATAAGTCCTGTTAACAGATTTTAACACCTGAGTTGGGGATCTATTCAGCTCCTCCAGAGTACCATGGATCTCCTTGCTTACCTGTTGGTACAGGTGGGTGAACATGAAGCTGTGAGCTACTCCTGCCTGAATACTGCCTTATTAAATAGTCAATGCTTGGGTTATAACTTTAAAACAAAGACCTAGATTTTGCTTTCTAACAGCTTTATCCCTGATCTGTCTGCTGTGTTCCATGATCTTCATGGTTTTGTAAATTAATACTTTTTTTTTTTATTATGCCATCACTGAACATTTTTTTATTTATTCTGATATTTAATTACACAAAGATAGGCAATATTTCATAATTTAATTACTTTAATTCAGTTGCAATATGAACACTAAAGGGGACTAAGTATAAAGTTAACTAACTATAACCTTAATTTTCAGATTTCTGTTCCCCCACCACATCACATTTATACAATTATTGAGTCTATCACATAAAACATATTTATGCTACAGACAAAATGTGGCATAATACAGGAGGATATGAATACTTTTGCAGAAGGTTTTTACAGCATTCCTCTGTTGCTAAAGATTCTGTGCAAAAAATAAAATCTTGATAAATGCAATTCATGTAGATTGTGGAGAAAAGAGATATTTTCTGCTGTGCATGGGGAGATTTTTTCAAAACATAAAAACCCCTCAGGGGACAAACCAAAATGTCACAAGTTTCAAACATTTAATAATTTTTTATAAAAATGTGACACAGTCGACTCTCAACCATGTACCTGTTAGTTTACATTTAAAATGCATCACAATCATAAAACCCTACTGTGGGCATTGAATCTATCGAGACCTTTTTAAAGATTGGTTTAAGAGTCTCATCATAGAGAGAACTCTAAAAAGATAGACAAATGGCATACAGTTTTTTTTTTTTAAGTTTTAGACTTTCTGCTGAGAGATAACCTATGAGGGGCCCTTAACTGCATAAAATGGGAAGAGATTAGGTCAAGAGAGAAACAAGCAAAGGCCTGAATAGTTTATTAACGGGTTTACGGACTCTTGGTTCCTTTCAAAGTGGCTTTTATTGCTTATTTTATAGCAGATTGAACACAGAGCTTGTAATATTCTTTGGCTGCTGTGTACCTTGTAAAACCTGAGCCAGTTCATGGGTGTTATAATAATGTGTTATTTCCACACGTGTAATGAACAACTAAAGACACAAGAAAAAACAAAGCAATTGTTAGATTGGATTGTGGTTCGTAAATTAGGCCAACTATGACCCATAGAAGCCCCGTCAGCTTCTTCAGCATTAACCTCCCACGTCGCAGAACTGTGTAAATTCCTCCTTTCCTCTTATATTCTTTTATATTAATGGGCGCCATGGCCGAAACATGGACTATGTTTTGTGCAGTTCCCATTCTAAGTTTAATTCCTTTGCCCTTCATTCTTAGTTCCCTCCTTCACTCCTGCTGTCAATCAAAGATCATGGTTGAGTCAGGCAGTCAGTCAGTCATCAGCAAAGAAAGAGAGGCCTCATTCCCTCTTTTTTATGCCCCCTTATGTCTTCAAGTTTTTCAGCCCACCTTCTCCGTGGCTTCTCTTCTTGCCATTTATCTCCTATCTTCCTAGATGAAGGTAGGATCTGCCACGGCATAAGGCGAAGTTGCTTTACCACAGCAGTGCAAAACCCGTCTATTTTCAAAATATATCAGTTTTAGCAAGACTGAAGTGGTTTATGAATAAACATGAAGAGGTGTTAGGGCGGGAAATGGATGGGTGGGGGTGGTAGAAGAAGAAGAGGCCCAGTTTCTGTGTGTGTGTAACATGAGGGAAGTATAGAGGGCAACGGAGCAGCCTTTCTTCCCAGCAGGGCTGCATCGCATTTAATTGGAGCACTTGTGGCACCATTACCTCCTTTACTCAAACACGTTCCTGATGACAAAAGAAAACAGCACTAAGCCTGCCTTTGTTGGAAAGGAGACTGTATGAGGAGACGGATTCCTCCCTGTTTCTCATGTGTGGGAATCAGCCACACTCTCCCACAGCGAGCTACTGCCGCCTTTGGGGAGGGATGGCATAAGGAGTATTTTAGGGGGGCAGATTGCTCAGAAATGCAGCCACCATGACTGAATGCTTTACAGTAGAGCTGCTATCTGGTGTATAGAGAAAACATTGCACTTGGAGGCAAACAGACACTTTTATGATAAAACCAACATATTTATGGGCAGAAAAAAAATACTTAAACTCTGACTCATTCTTCTGATCAGGGCTTTTAAAATAATTGTCCATCGGAGTGCGTGTTCAGCATCCTGATTACGGTGCGGTTTGCTATTTCCTGACTGAGTATGGATGATTTGCAGACTGTAGTTTGTTTGTAGTCACCACAGTGTCATGGGGAGAGGAATGAGGGCTGCTAGCCTCTCTCTGACCTCACGTGGGAGGAGGACACCAGGACACACTGAATTTTTTTTAATAAGTTATATTTATGAAAAAAATCTTTAAAACAAAACTGAAACCTCTTAATAAAGGGATTTGTTTTTGTTAATAAAGGGGATAAAATTAAACATCTGTGTTTGGAACTGTTTGTCATTCATTTTTCAATTTATCGGTTAATCAAATAGGCCTTAAGAAACTTCTCAAACAGTATCAAACATGTACCGGTATCTAACAAAAGCCTTAACTTTTAAATTGCAAACACTTTACTTTAACATTTTCCTTTTAATAGAGAATATCATTGAAATGTTTACAAAACATTATTACCATTTAAAGCCTTGAGCCAAATTGTCAAAAAGAGAGTTTTCAGATGAAAGAAATGAATGGGATCCAGAATATTGAATTGTTTTTTTTTTTTTTAATAAAGCATCAACAGAATTATGATATAACTACTAAACGCAGAGTTAAAGGAAAGTTTAATTAGTTAACCAGCATCACTTAGTTTTTAACTGTTATATTATTCTATGGCTTCCACAATGAGTAACATAATAAACATTTTCCTTTTTAAATTAGTAAAAAAAATCAACATGAAGAAATAGAAACAACAACAAATGACAAATAAGGAATAAGTTTTGACTGTAAATAAATGACAACATAGAGAAACTTACAGTTTTTTTATAAACTTGAAGGAAGTCTTACTTTGGTGTAAAATGAAAAACTGATGGTTATCTCGGGACATAATAACAGAACATGAGTATTTAAAAAAAGAGAACAAACCTCACATCATTACATTTATCTTATACTTCTAAGTTGAGACAATATGAGGTACAAACCCAGAGTATTCAAATGTTTTTTTTTTGTTTGTTTTGTTTTATATTTCTTCTCCACGTTGTTTGGAGAGGGAGCTGGGTCCAACAGAGAAACAAAAGAAAGGGTAACAGTTGATCGAGTCAAAGAGCCATTCATGATCGGGACCTGGCATCTGGCTCCATGGTGAAATGCGTGTCAGCACTAAAGATGGAAAAAAAAATACGTTAAGGATCATGATTTGTTGAAAATATCTCCAAATATTTATGCACAATTTAAGATAAACCCTTGAAAAACCACTGAACCTTAGCCTTCCTTGAACCTTAATCAAAATCCAGAGTTGTTCTTTCTATTAGTAGATGAGCTAATGGTCGATCTGTTGTCAGTGTTAACATGAGGGCTGTTGCATAACCCCAAGGTCACTTTGAGGACTCACACACATGAAGGTGTTCTACAAAAACCCCCATCAACAAACAGCACAAGTTCTCTTGGAAGTAAAGGAACATGTCAGCTGTTTGTTTGGTCAGCTTCACCTTGTTCTCACATTGTATTCCTCATGGTAAATAATCCCCTTTAAAATCTAAAGCTGCAATGACCCATAGCTTCTATGAAATAGACTCTGCTGCCACCAAGAGGATGGTGAATGCAAAGTGCATTTTAACTACATAATGATGCTGCCTTGTGGAACAATCCTCTTTTATTACTGGATAAAGGAATCAAACACTCACACGTCTTTGCCCCGCATGTGGTTGTTGTAGTGCAGGATTGGTGGGATGCTCTCTTCGTCTTCTGGCAACTGGAGACAAAACAAAAAAATGTAACAAATACAAGGCAACTAATCCTGAGACTCAGAGTTCATGTTGTTTGATGTCAAATCCCCACCCCCCTGAAAAAATGAGTGAAAAAAGGTAAATATGACAAAAATTTGGTTTAATTCTTTCAGAAAAAAAAGAAAAACTTAAAAATTTATCACAATACATTGTCTTAAAGTACACGTGTATTATTCAATTGTAAAGTGGTAGCATATGAATACACTGTTTTCTCTTTAATAATTAATCATGTTTGGTTGGCTTTATCATGTTGTTTTTCATTGATCCTGCTATAATGAAATCAATACAAACTGCGCTTTTAAAAAAAGTGACTCCCGAAGTTATTTAGTGGAACTGTAATTTATAAATAGGTACCAGGATTAAGGATGTACATAAAGTTTTAAAATAAATAAAAATATGACCGGACCACCCTGTCTTTTTTCTGATGGTCTCATAAAATCCCAATAAAACCCTCTAAAGTGTGGAGCTGTAATATAAAAAAAATGTGAAAGAAAGAAATCCAAAGGTTATTTAAGCGATGCTGCTATATGTAAATAAGAGTGGTCTTTTACAAGATCTGATTATTGCACAGTAACATTTTTAGAACTTATTTTCATCCATTGTAAATACCTAAAAAGCAGAGATATATTTAAAGTTGCAATCTTCCGCCACTTACCTCCCAGTAAGGTTCATCATCAAAGCAGTTGTCATCTGCAGGATCTCCCCAGATGGGTAATCTCAAGATTGCACCTAGAATCACAAAATAAAAAAAACTTTTTTAATGTAAAAATGCACATTACATCTGTAAGGTGATCCCATTGTGTTCCCATATATCATCTAAACTGTGGTGCATTCCCTACCAACAATCAGGCCTCCTCCTATGCCGAAGCAGATTGCCACACAGAGGCCTCCAGCCTGGTGACCTCCCTGCTTCGTTGGCACCATGTCCTTGAAAGCCCCCGTAAAGTCAAAAGTGTTGATCAACCTTTTAATTTAAAACAAGACCCTTGATTTCTCTCGAAATTTGCAGAACAATTTACAATATTTTTTTATATTTATATAAAATCAGTTCTTGTTGAAAACATACCCCTGCTTGCCGTAGACTGACTCTGATGCTGCAGCAGCAGTGATGGCTCCAACTATACCGCCTATAACCCCTGGCATGGCGTGGAGATTGTGAATTCCACACGTGTCTTGGATCTTCATGTATTTCTCCATGAAAGGCTGATGGATTCACATGGGGGTGTTTGTGAAGTTTATTATAATCATTAACTGTGGACCCTTATCAAAGACTCTAACTAATAGTGGACTATGAACAAGACAAAGATCTTACAGTGATATATATGTATCCAAGTGTGGAAAGAATACCACAGCAGAAGCCAACGATGAGAGATCCATAGGGCATCAGCATGAACTCAGCTGCTGTTCCTACTGCAACACCTCCAGCAAGTGTCGAGTTCTGGATGTGAACCTGGAAAAAAGATGCAAAACACATTTAGAGAAAGCAAAAATATGTTGGCCATTAGTGGTTCATAAGTTTAAATCCTTTTAGAATAGCTTTAGCCGACTTGCTTTAATTTAAGAATGCATTTATCTTCAATTGAAGAAGAAGTTAGCAGGATTACTATTCATCCTCTTTTACTCCAATAGCCTGAAGTAAAATGGATTGTGAGTATATTTAGATCAATTGTGGCAATGATTTAGCTTTTGACCTCCAGCATTTCCCTGTATTTAGCATAAACTCTGACCAGCTTTCCTAGATTGACTGAAAAAAAATCTACCCTGTAGAATAATGCTGCCACCTCCGTGCCTACAGAGTAGGCCTACAAAAAGTTCAAGAGAAACCTGTCTGCATTTATACCATAAAGCCCAAAATTTCAATTACAATATAATTTTATTTCTATTTCATATCTCAGTACCACTTTGTATCAGTATACTAACCCAACCTCCAAGAACAGGAGAATATACTAAAAACTTTTGCAGGGTGCCAGTTTATTTTCCCACAAGAAATTGTAAATTTGTTTTATTTTTTTAATTTATTTATTTATTTTTATTTATTATTATTTATAAGAGTAAATCTGTAAATCTGCTCTTTTTTTTTTTTTTTACCATATCTAGTTTTCCATGTTTCTGAAACACACTCGAAACAGCAAATGTGGTGAGCACGGTTGCAGCCAAAGCCAGGTAGGTGTTGATGGCCGCCCTGTGCTGCCCGTCGCCATGATCTGTTATAGCGGAGTTGAAACTTGGCCAGAACATCCACAAAAAGAGGGTACCTGTGAAGAAAGGTGACGTGAGTGGTCAAAGTAGCACCTCCATATACGTTGGGTTAAAAGCAGTTGGTGCCAAACCCAGCTTACCAATCATAGCAAAGACATCTGAATGGTAGACAGAGCCGTGCAAACGTGAGCTCTGGTCCAGGTTGGGCCGGTAGAGCATCCATGATATGGCGAGTCCATAGTAACCTCCAAAGGTGTGGATAACCATGGAGCCCCCAGCATCCCTTGCCTTCAAAATTAAAAGGAATTTCACTTGAATGAAAAACTGCATACATTAAAACGACATTAAAAGACAAAAGAAAACCCTTAGTTTTATTTTTTTTCACAGTGCCTTAGAGACACTTTTCTTTAGGAGAGGCAGAGAAACTGCTTCAAGGAAAACCTCAAAGAGGCTACAAAGGACCTAAAGGCAAATCTCTTTGAAAGCTAAATAGTTCAAATGGAAGAACACAACATCCTACTGATTCAATCCACTTGAAAACAGATTTTCTATATCTGATTTTGAAAGAGTTTGAGGGTTTTGAAAGGAACTCAATCAAACATTTATTCTGAAGCTGTGCAAAACGCTCAGAGGCAAAGCCCCAAAAGGTTTCTACAAGATTTTAGGAACTAAATGCAAATTTGAGTCAGAATTTTCAGATTTATATTGTTAAAAGAAATCTTGTAAATATAAAATCTTTTTTTTTTTTTTATTGTTTGATATTTAGCATATAGATAAAGTAAAAATACATACATGTGGCTTTTTCTAATTTGTTTCTAAATCAATTTCTAGAAAATAGGTAAACATATAATTTCAACCAAATGATGGCTGCAGTTAAAACCATTACTATTTTATGTGACCTGCAGAAATCACAAAATTTGTAATATGGCTTATTTTGTTGGAGGTTAAAGATTTTGCAATCAAATGTGGATTTATAAGATGAAACTTCACTATGTCACCATAAGAAATAAAATCAGTGATTGTAAAAAATTATTTGTCTCTTATTACTTTCCCTCAATTAAATAATACTCTAAAACATCTGTCTTAATTGCATTCCTGTAATTTAAAACTATTTTTTTAATGCTGAATTTTGTTACTGATGGTGACAAGGAGCAAAAAGGAGAAGAAAAATAATAATAATAGATGACTTACATGGATGAGATTTAGGATGATAAATTCCTCCACAGCAAACAGTGTTATCCCGAACAAAGTCAAAACCATCAACTGGACGGGGCTGACCTTTCCCAGCAAAGCTCCATATGCGATCAGACAGCCGGCCACACAGAAATCTGCATTAATTAGGCTGAAGAGAGAAAAAAAAGAAATCAAACTCAGGTTAACTAGGATCCACTGCAGTTTATTTTTAGTTAAATTTAGGTTAAAAAAAAAAAGTCAGGCTGTAACCATCCTCCACAAACGACCTTCTCACAATATTTGACACAGAAGGAGCAGGGTGATTTTCAGCAGTGTCATAACTCATTAGACCTTGTGACCACAAACACTTCATCCGTCACAACAGGAAGTATCTTTTGGAAATCTCCCAGTCAGACTGGTTGCCCCACCTTCTTTTTTTTTTATTTCAGCTGTGGATATTATGCAGGTGAAAACATATTCCCACAGGATATGTTTCCAACAAAAGTCTGTGAAAAACTGACACTTTAAAAATAGAAGATATGAGCTACAGCTCTCTTACCTTTCCACTCCAATTTTGATCTTCCCATCTGTGTAGTCCAGGGAGTGGAACCAGCCCTGCATTAGCAGTGCCCACTGGAGGCCAAAGGCGGCAATCAAAAAGTTGAAACCCACTCCTCCGAAGCTGTAACGCTTCAGAAAGGTCATCAGGAAACCAAACCCAACAAAGATCATCACATGTACATCTTGGAAACCTGAAAAAATATGAACAAATGATCAAAAGAGGTTAAAAAAAGTCTAAACTGGATCTAAAATCTTTTATCAATCAGCTGTATTAGTGTGAGAATCATAAGGGAAATCAGAAGGCAAAGTTGAATATTTAAAGAATAGACAGAAAATACTGACAACAATTATTTATTTGACTTCTTTTTCGTCCATGCTAATAAAATATGGTCAGATTCTTATTCAGTTTAGAGGTAAAATAATTGTCTTTTAATCTAAATACTGTTAGTCCTGACCAAAAAACATTAGGGAACCTTTTTATTTAAATAAGCTCAGAACATCAAAGGACATCAGAGTAGGGGTGTGCTTCCCAGCACAATAAGACATGTCATCTGTTTTAACTAAGTTTGCTGGGAAAAAAACATTGTTGATGAACAATACAACATAATAATAATAAATGCAAAACAGGAGAAAACTACATTGTACCCCATCGTATCATCCGATACTGTATTGCATCTCACACTATTCATTTGTGCTAAATTGTATTATATCTTGCAATGTATTTTGACATACTGTATCTCATTATAATCCCATTGACCTATACTGATGGTTGGTAAAGGTCAGGTCATGTCTTTATTAACAGCCTATTCATAGCCTATTCTATCCCTTCATGGGTAAACATTTTTTTTTCTGTTTGCATCAACAACTGAGATAACAAAAAATATGGAACATAATAACTGAAATGAGCTTAAAGAAAGGCAGAAGATAATGTCTGAGGAGGAATGATGTCAGTGGAAGGATTTTGCAATAAAGTTTGCATTGACAAAATGCTTGAAACGACTAAGTTACCGACTCTTTTGACAAATTTGCAAACTGCTTTACACCCAACGTAAAGCTCTTTTACAAGCACGAAAAAATAAACCACCCTGGTTCCCTTTAGTGACTGGAGAAAGGATACTTTATTAAACTGTATCAAGGTTTTCAACAGGAAATATGTGTTTTTGGATTGTAAATTGGATAATGAACCGAAGCCCTTAAACCCAACAAAAAAAGTTCACAATCAAAGTAGAGATAATAGGGCAGCAAAAAACTTTGTTGGAAGAAATTATTTATTTTTGGACTGTGCATACATATTAATGTAGCTGATTATTTTTACTCTTTACCTTTTGCTTAAAGTGAAGACTTGTGTGTCATTTCAGTTGTTCCTAGAAATATTTCCTACTTTGATCAATTAATAAGTTGCTAAAAAAAAAAGCAACACTTGATTGTAAACCTTTAATGTGATTATTGTCAGCATTACTTCCATATTTCTAATGTTTACCTTTTTTTTTTTTACCGCGTTTCCTTTTCACTGCCTAAATGTAACAGTGAGCTCAAAAGGAACAAAGTTGATCATAGAAGACATCTAAGAAGAATGTTCACATGACCCCGCATTAGTAGTGCATAATCTTTTCTTAGGTTAATTTCCCATCACCTAAAAAGAAAGGCACGCTTTATTATATTTTGCTTCATGCAAATCACCCATCTAAAGCTCTTATTAAATCAGTTTCCTGAATTTAAACAAAAACCCACATGGATGATTTCATTTCCCAGCAAAGAACCAGTTGAAACCACACAATGCGTTTGGTATAACAACATGCCTCCGCTATGCAGGTTGGCATAAGGGCATATTAGATAAGAGTGGTATATCGTGTGAAGATGACACAAACACATCACGGTGTGCTTATTCTTCCGTGCAATTAATGTTTTTATGAAAAAAACTATGATCAATGATTTAGCCATACTGGTGATGGATCTAATTTAATTTCAACTTAGACAGATTTATTTGTCATTTTGTTTACACAAGTGTAAAACAAAATAGTGTTAAAATAGTGTTTTTTAAATCAAATTATATATTTAGCTACTGATAAGGCAAGAAAAAAAGAAGAAAAAGTGAAATTGATCTGTAGCAAAATTATAGCAATTGAAAATTAGAAAAATGAAAAAGAGCACTGTTTTTTTTCTGGACAATATCAAAACTGAATAGCTGTATAAAAAGATGTGATATACAGTAGTTGCATTGTGTTTATAATGCAAACAGCCATAAACAATCATTGGATGGTGGCTAATTCCAGTCAGTTTGGCTTATAGCACAACACCGCATCTGCGTGACACATGTCATGGCACAATATGTCCACACTGCCCTCTCAATCACCATCGTTTGCATTCTAAAAGCATTTAATAAACACAGCAAGGTGCTGCTGATAGAAAAGCAAAGCAAAGAAAAAATATAATAAAATCTCCTGCTGCTTCAGCTTTCACACATAGTTTCCAGACTTTACACATAAGTGCTGTTGGTTTCAGACAATCAACTAAAATGATAGTATGTTTATGTTATGTAATGTAAAGGTGCAGAAACAAGCTGTTTTTCATGATGACCTTAAATTGACACTGTAGATGGTTAGTGTAGAATAAACAAACAACCCCACCTATATGAAACCGTCCCACATACATGTTCTTCAGCCGAATCCAAACACATTTAAGACAAAAAAAAAAAAAGCAGCATGGAGATTTGAGATGTATAAAATAAGAAAAGACCACAGAAGAATGAAATATGTTGCTGCAGGTGTCAGACCTTTGTCAGCAATTCAGAATAAAATGAAAGGTCATCACAATGTGATATCCAGCACTAATTTAATGTTATCCATGATGAATTAAGTCAAAATGATATTTAACCCTAATGTCTAATTTTTTAAGGAATTATATTACTTATTGAATTGATTAAGAAATGGGGGAAAAAACAACAGCTCCTAAACCACAAAAACAAGAAGGCTAAAAAGTTAGTTTTACTTACTTGGATATCTGAAGTAGAAGTCATTCTGTATATCTGTCAAATTTTCATGATCTCTGTGCTCAACCCAGTGAGCGTCTGATTCTTCATCATATCGAATAAAAACCCCATGCAGGATGATCATAGCAGTTTGCCACACCACACACACTGCTGGCAGACTCATACGAACATTAGGATTCTTTGTGCGATCACACATTTCCCTGAAGCTCTGGACGCCCCCCATCTTTGGTGCTTCTCGTTTCTCAGTGTCCCTGAAGATCCGCCGCACTCCTTGGCTGCAGTCTCTACGGTCCAGAGCATCTTCAAGTTCAAGCTCATGTTTAAAAAGAGTCCAGCCATCAGACACTCCCATAGCCACTCCTCCTATCCTGCACATGGAACCCAGCACTTTTCAGGGACGTTTTTCTTCACATGTAATCTTGACTGTGCAGATATGTTTTCATTATCAACATGGTGATGTTCTTTTTTTTTTTTTTTTTTTTTTTAAGAAAGATTGTTCATATTTATCCTTCCTTTATGTAAAAACTGTCTGCATGTCAGAAAAAAAAATCAAAAGCTTTATTTCTACATATTTTCCTATTGGAGCGAGTAGGTTTACTCCCTTAAATTTATAAAACTAGTTTAATAAAAACATAAACATAGGCTAATCTGTACTGTAAAACAGAAAAAAACACAAAATCCAAATATAATTTTATTTCTTCACATAAAGATGTCAACACACTGTTATGAAACTGGCAAATATTAGGAGAAACACATAGGGGAGTAAATGTTAGATACAGATCTGACCTCTGTCTCAAATACATCAACATCATTCTGGGAATCCTCGCTCAGTCAGCTTGGTAAGTTCTTTGCCTCTCTGCATCTCATCCATCCATGCATTTACCTTTTATGTACCATCAAGGCCTATCCTTCTTTTCACTGAAGTAAAACACAGAAAACTAAATTGTTGACTTGCCAGGATCAAGAGAGACCACTACAAATTTGCACATAGGCATTCCTAAAAATCAAGGCCAGACGAATCTGATAGACAAAAAAATAAAAGCAATCAAAGATCATCATAACCAGCATTCTTCTGATAATTCATGGTTGTCATTATCTTTTAATAAACTAAATTAATAACTGGAAGACTCATCCAAGCATCATCTGCATTCAATCACCTCATCATGCACCTCTGCTCCAGCCAATCACCTCATTCAGTCAGTCTACATAAAGCTCTCCAGTCAAAGACTCTCCTGGTCTTCAGCTGAGCTTCTATCAGCCTCAATCTCCTTCTAGATTCCTCCACTTCACGACCAGTGTCCAGATTCTGGGGGAAGACATATCTAATCTCTTAATCTCACAATGATCCTCCAAGATCATTGACATTCGCATCTTCCATGTCTTCAGCCGGGGTTTGAGCACCAAAGAACTGTCAGATTCACCAATAAATATCTCTAATTATCATCTTTATGTGTGTGAGTGTCTCCAGGTTACATTAACCACATGACTGCATTAAAGCTTTCAAACAATAACTACTTTAGATAAATTATATAATAATAACAATGCTAATTTGAGCCTCAGAGGTAAATATAGGTCAGAATAACCTCTAGTTGTTTGATATATTGCGTATTGAAGGATATTGTGTATTTTGATTTTTTGGTTGTACAGTGTCCTTGGGTGTCCTGAAAGGGGGTTTAAATAAAATGTATTATTATTATTAACAGTCCTCTGAAGAGGATTCTTACTGTTCTCTCACAATGTTCTTCATCAGAGTTATTCTTTGTGAAACAATTTCAAGAGGTTCTGGAGAAGTTTATAGAAAAAACTGACCTTATTTATCCGATTGCTGCTGTTTTCCTTGGCAGATAATGACAGACTTATAGAATATATAAGTCTTATTAAATCTTGATACAAACACTGAAGTCCTAAAGCTTCCATATAAAGTAAAGTCTGCTCTGTCCCTCCCTGAAAACAGCATCACTGTTGCATCTCACAGTTGTCCAGGTATTTATACTACTTCAACACCTTCACCTCTTTTCCCATTATGTTAATAAGATTTAATACCAGTAGTTAATATTAGATGTAATTTTGCATTACATAACAATAAAGGAAGAGATGTGGATATATATACACACATACTCAAGGTAAACCAGTGAGGCGTGTAGCTAAATGTTATGTCAGAAAAGTCAAACATGCGGGACTTGGAAAAGAACAGCAGGTTAAAAGTGTCACATGCTTGTTCCTTTTCCAAAGAAACCTACTTGAAATATCTACAGAGCTGCTGAAAAAAGAAAAAAAAAAAACACCCATATTAAAGTAAATAAAGTATTATCCTAAAGTTTCTTATGGTGGATTTAAAAATAGAATGTTCTGTAACTGATATTCTTGGAGATTAAAAAAAAGAAAGATTAAATGTATGTTTACAATGCACCTTTCAGAGGGTTCATCTACAGTAAATATGCTCAAAGTAATAGATTTGTAACATCTGCATGCTTGACAATGACTGTGCAGAGTTTTATTTTAAGCAGTTTCAGTGAAAATTAAGATGACTGTACATGGTTTTATGGAAACTGAGAACAACTGCTGGAAAATTCAAGTTATGTTAAAAAAAAAAAAAAAAAAAAACTCAAAACACAAAGATTGTGCAAAGAAACACCTGCCCTGTTTTATTTACGGAGACAGGCTGTGATGTTTCTCTACTGAAGAGAAAAGCTTCAGATTATAAGAACCACATGCAGCTGAATGAAGGGGTAAAAACAATGCTGTGAGCTCCCTGGTGAAGACATTAAAAGTAAGCAGGTAAATGCTCATTCATCCTGCAAGTCCGTTTGATGCTGCTGCCAAGGTGCGCTCATTCTAGTGGATAATGTGTTTACTTAGGACAATGTGTGGCAATGCTGCTCACTTTGAGCGTCACTATCAACCTTGACAAAGTGATGTTTTAGTTTCTGCAGATCATGCTCAATGAAGTATCTAAAATTCCATTAAAACAGTACTTTGAGAGAGTAGTTAATTCATCCTTTAACGATAGCCAAAGATTTCATTATCTAAACAAGACTTGAAATATTTTCTGAGCCTTTCAACGCATAAAGAGTGTTAATATTTTCTGTTCCATTTATATATATATATATATATTATCAATATTTTGGTAATGCTCTAAGAAAAAATAAAATAAATGTAAAGAAGACAATTTATCTTATGTTTTTTTTTTTATTCAAATGTAAATGTTCCCTTATAACCAACAAAAGTTTGAAATGTAACCAAGATAACCTGACATTTTTTATAAATATTTAATCTATTATGATAAAAGCTATCTAAATCAGAATGGCCTTGGAGGTATTATGTATTGCCGCTTACATTAAATCATGAAATAACAGCGATGAATCCAATATTGTATAATCAGTTAAAATTCAACAGCTTTAACCAGGAGTGAAGGCTGATTTATACTCAGAAACCAGGTTGTTTGTGTGTGTCGCAGTGAGTACAAATGTGCCTTCCCCCCTGCCGCAGACACTCTGCTGCTCCTCTCCAAAATTGTAGGTGACCGCAGACACTGCCGCAGACAGGAGGCCTCTGATTGGTGATATTGGTGAAGGTGTTGTTTGCATCACTCATAGAAGCTTACTATCCAGAAGAAAATTTTCCATTTTTCCACTATGTCTGACTCACCACCAGTAATTGAAAATGGGGACAAGCACGTAGGACTGCCTTATGTAAACATATCTTCAGAATCATTGACAATTAGGAGGACCACTTATTTTGATGATCCACCCAGAAAAAGAACATCCCCCACTACACCTTTAAGATTCCATGAAACCAGTGAAAGCCTTGTGAAACTGTTTAGATCAATTGTAGCTATGATTTTGTCTTTTTTTTTTTTTTATAAACAGCGCTGATGGACCCAGTATTCAAGTGAGACAGACAGTGGGAAGTTTCATAACGTTTTACCAAAAATAAAACCAGAACAGAAACAGAACAGAATGCAGGCTGCTGTGGATCTGCAGACATGCAGCGGTTTGGGGGTGAGGTTGGGTAACACCCATCACTGGCACTCTGTTTGTAGGAGAAACACAGGTAAGTGACCATGATCATCTGATGGGAGATGATTATCCATGTGAGTCACTTACCTGGTTTAATAGTTCAGTCCATGCTCTCCGAGGAAGGCAGGATCCAGCCAACGGACTGCCAAATGAGATGCGGCACAGAGCCGCCCAGAGTGTCCCAGATTCAGCAACCCCAGTGTGCAGGCAGTAGTCGGAAACAGATCAGGGAAAACAGATCAGAACAGGGCAGTTCTGATATCCAGGAGTCTGTAGCCCGACCAGGGGTTCCGATCCTAACAGGAACAGAAAGATCCGGGGTTCCAGAAATCCGCGGAGCATTCAGGCAGGTTCAGAGCTCCATGAGTCCAGCAGCAAGCTCAGCCAGACAGTTGGAGACAGACGGGATCAGTGGTTGAGATGAACAGAGACAAGGCATGGTACCAGCTGAAACTGTGCAACTTTAAACTGGCTCCAACCAAGAGCCAGGCCTATGGGACTTAAAACTAGCTCCCCCCGCACGCCAAGCCAAATCAGGAACTGAGCTGGCTGCTTAGCGGAGAAGAGCCAGGACATGATGAGGCGACACAAGACAAACACTAAAATCCTCTATAACGCTGGCCTTCCAGAACAGGAACATGAACGGTCGAATAACCAAACTAAAAACTAACGAAAACAAAAATACATAAGACAATGATCAGGCCCCAAGTGCTGGGCTGAACCGTCTATAAAACAGACGGAGCTGATGTCAGGGTTTGGTTATGGTTTAGGGGCTGAGGTAATTTCTGCAGTTTAATTGGTGAAAACAGTAAACAAAGGCAGGAATCCAAAATCCAACTTAAAATGTAACACAAACCAGAACCATGGAGACATCAGGGGAAAACAATCAGCAGCGACAGAACCTGCGACAACAGAAGCAGCAACAACAGAGGAACCAATACGGAGTGACAGCAGAGGGAGAGTATATATAGCTGACTGAGACAAAGGCAGGGCTAACGAGCTGATAAGGAGCAGGTATGAGTGGAGTCAACGAGGGAGCCAAGGGGAAAGGAACACACACAAGAGGGCAACAGAGGACAACAACAAAAAAACCTGAGAACCAAAATAAATCTAGTAACACAAAGTAGGAAATAAACCAATAAAACACACGGATCAAAGTAAAACAAAAAGTAAGACCATGACAGCAGGTGGATAAGACTGATGATATTACTGAGTGTGGAGAGTTCAGCAGGAGAATAAAGTGATTAATTAGATCATGACAGATTTAGCTTTTG